TTCATCCTATATCCGCAGGCATCGCTCGGCCACGGGCTGCCTAGACAGTGAATCTGCCACAACATTCAGCTGCCCCTTTCGGTACGTCACCTCGAAGTCGTACTGCTGTAGCTCCAGGGCCCTGTCGATGCTGGGGTTTGGCTCAGGGCGTTGCCCGTTGGTGCCGCTGAACTGGGGCAATTGACCTTGGTCCGCCACACAAATCCGACACACACTCTAACGGTTCGCCCTTCTCTGCTCTAACCTCTTCCAAGAATCTGCCGTTCACTCTGAATATTGAAGACTCACTCTGTGAATTCTATGTCGCTGGTCCCGTTACAATTTTCCGTTATTCCGCACCTCGATTCACTCAGACTCTGGAACACTCGACTCAGCTCTTGGGCTGCTCACGCGCGAAGCTCCCGTGCCTTGGCTGCCACCCTCCTTATATAGACGCCGGCTAACGGTTCTCCCACGCGGTCAGTGTTTTTCCATTGGCAATTCTGATGCTTTCTCCCTTCTTCGTAACGGGACGATTTTTGGTCATGCGTCGGTCCGCTGCCGGCCCGATCCCATCCTTCCGCTCTCTCTTGATCCGCCCTATTGGGCTCCGCGCTCTCTGAGCGCCTCTTCCAGATTCGCCGTGTTTGGAAATCCGAGCCCCAGGCTTTAACCCTCTACAGCCCGTGAGGGACACGTTCCCTTACAATGTCGGCAAACAATGATCAGGCAATCGCTGATCTTTTTGCAAAATTTTTTCAAACCACCTATTCACAGGAAAGCTACCCAGGTGATAGGGCATTTTCTGCCCTTTGTTTAATGAAAGCACCTTACTTCATGAACTTCAATTAGTTAAGTCGGTATTTTCACCTGACGGAGTTACCGGCTGTGTACTCAGGTACTGTGCCGAGTCTCTGTGCGGACCTTTGCTTAAACTATTCACTCTATCCATCCATTCTTTTAGCTTTCCCCCCATCTGGAGTAATCCTTTATAATTCCTCTCCGTAAGAAAGATAGCAAGTCTGTCGCTAAAAACTATAGAGGTATATCTAAGTTATCCGCTATTCCTGAAATGTTCGAGAAAATTTTAACTCCGCATTTGCAGCATCTCTGCAAATCACTTATATCTCCAGCTCAGCACGGATTTATACGGCTACGATCAACAACCAATAATCTTTTAGAGTTCACCTCCTTTGTAATTAAAGGATTCCAAGGTAACTTGCAGACGGATGTTAATTACACTGACTTCAGTAAGGCATCCGATGCTGTAAACCGTTCTCTTCTTGCACAAAAGCTCGACCTTCTAGGGTTTCCGCCCAATCTGTTGAGGTGGATTTCTAGCTACCTGTGTTCTAGGTTTCAAAGGGTCCTTTTCAAAAACTCCTTATCTTTACCTGTAATGGTTACTTCTGGAGTACCACACTTTTCACACTCTTTATTAATGACCTGCCTTCTGTATTAACAAATTCTCGAGTACTTATGTATGCGGATGATGTTAAACTCTGTGTCCAGTATAAGGACATTTCATTTCACTGTCGGTTGCAATCTGATCTCAATAGCTTTCAGTCATGGTGCTGTGCAAATATGTTACAACTTAATGCCTCGAAGTGCAACGTAATGACTTTTTATCGCTCCAGCCCCTTCCTGGCTCCTTACACCCTCTGCGGTAGTTCTCTTGAGAGAATTACATTGGTTGAAGATCTAGGTGTCAAACAAGACACCAAGTTAAAGTTTTCTGAATACATTTCTACCATAGTAAATAAGCCATGGGTGTGCTTGGGTTTATAAAGAGGTGGTCAAAGGAATTTGATGACGCCTATATAACGAAGGCTCTCTATATCTCGCTTGTTCGTCCGATTTTAGAATACGGCTCATGTGTATGGTGCCCTCAGTACAACATACATCAGGACCGTATTGAATCAGTACAGAACAACTTTTTATTATTTGCCCTACGGGGCCTCAACTGGGATGCAACTGTGAGAATGCCATCCTACCGTAGTAGATTACTTCTAATAAGCCTTCCATCCTTAGTTAGTCGTAGAAAAATGCTTCGTGTAATTTTTATGCACAACTTGATCAAGGGGGATGTAGACAGCCGTGTCCTGTTAAGCCGCGTAAACTTAACGATTCCGATTAGACCCACTAGAAACTATATTCCTTTGTTCCTTCCACTGTGCAGATCGAATTATGCCTTGCACGAACCCTTTAGGGTCTTATGCTCGGATTATAGTTCCCTCTATCACATTATATCCTCGACTAACTCCCTTCCTCTTTTTAAATCTCTTATAATAGCCTACCTCTCCCGTAGTTAGCTTCATTTTAGCTTTGTCTTAATTCTGACTTTGATAATTCTGCTTGCTTAGCTATACTTGCTTTATTTTGGTTGTGTTTAGGTATAATTTTCATAGAATATTAGCCTAACATCTATCTTTTCTACATTCTCGCGACTCGGTCGGTAGGGCTGGAGGAAGGCTGGGTTCCGCGCGTAACAGGCTTTGGCTTGGTTTCGCATGGGCCACTTGATGGTGCAGTCATTGCATGTCAACGGCCAGACAAAAAAAAAGGCGGGTTTGAAATCCTCTAGAATCGAGGTGTTCTTGGCAAATTCAAGTAGTTCCCCTGGCGTCCTCTTGGAACCATCTTCAAGTGATGCCAGCAACAAAGACGCCTAGGTATCTACCTCTTGCTCGTGCGAGGGCCGGGCAGATGCAGATGAGATGTTCCAGGGTTTCCGTGACCCAGGCTCGTCGCTTCCTCCTGTGAGTAATGGTAACACTGATCATGTATGATCCAGCCATGTTTTTACGTCTGGAATTCTTCATAAAACACATTGTTACAATAAGTGTTTGGGTGAAAAACATAATACTTACGGATGTACAGATATACGCTTATCCATTTGGCGATCATTTGAATTCACAAGAACATTTAATATTCTGGCCCCATGCGTGATCGTCAACTAAAAAACGATTGCAAATTTTGAAAAGCACACAAGAGCGTGCGATGGTGCTGGCAAAAAGTCTGTGCATGGATAAAAAAAAATAGGCTCATCTTGGTTATTACTACCAACACACTACTAGCTTTATTAAAACTCTAAGAAACAGTTTTGGGAACTATTCAGTTTATTTACATATGTATGTAAATTCGCATTGAATGATGGCAAACAGTTTTATTGTTAATTTGATGTTGAACATTAGGGTTATATTTTGTTCACGTATCAAGTGCTGTCGTGCCCATAGTTTTAATTAAAAATTATCGAGAAATGCATACTTTTAAATAAATCTTTTATTTACCGCTTCGCAGAAGACTATTCCGATGGGTGTAATTATTTCAGCGTTTCTGCACATCTTTTGTAGCTATTCGTCAAACACTTACATATATTTCACTTTTGTCGCATTCAGAATTCAGAGTAGATTTGTTCTTGCATGATTATATCATAACCAAACGCCAACCTCAAGCGAATTATTCAAAAGTTCTGGAATAAATCAGAGTTCCGTCTCGACAACCATGGCCAGAATTCCCCCCAAATTCTGCCCAATTGTCACGACGTGCAACCGAGTGATGCCGACAGTTTCGTGACATACGTTGAACGTTTTAAAGCAAATACGAAAAAGTTAAAAATTCATTTGCAAAATTAACCTTGAAGTTGTTTGCAAAATGTCTGCTATTACAAGCCCCATTTTGAAGCTACGCGACGGTGCTTAAAACATGTTAGGCCAGTGCTCGGGGGCTTTCCGAGAGAGTTGAATGGTAAATATGAGGGGGGGAGAGAAAGCTGAGGAGAAACGGTATTAGTCGAAACGAGAAACCAGTTTAGTTGAACTTGACCCGCAAACGTTGTATGTCGTCCGCCCCCTGATCAGATATTAACCCACCAGATGGCTCCCATTACCTCAGGCTCTGAGGTAAGCAAAAATCGTATAACGATGTTGTGGTATGGAGTCGCTTTCTTGTAAACAGAATTCCGGACTAAGAACACAGAACGCCTCATACGTCGCAGATATCGCGAACGCAGAGCAAAACAACAGCTGATTCTTCAGCTGCTTCCGTCATGTCATGAAAAGCTTTGACGATTCGAACCGATCTCAAATGATCTGTCCGATCCGAGCGACAAGCAAGCAAGCTTTTGCGAGCTTTCTCGCTACTGAATGTGCCGACAAGCTCTAAGCTAGTTTTATTCGTAGTTTAAAAATTTACGCACAGACATCGGGCTGGCAGCAGAGCGGCACGAGCCGGTATATAAATAAATTCAATTAAAGAAAACAGAAGAAAACTAAGGAAAACAAACAAAAATTTCATATTTACGTCGCATTGCCGGGAAAAGTTTTTGTGGCGTGACTTTCGTTTACTGTGCCGGTAAGAAAAAGATTTCATTCACCATTACTGATTCGCTCAGCGATCTCGTTGCTGGCAAGTGGATCTTCGGAATGGTCGCAGCAGTAACGACCTTGCCTAACAACAACATAAAATAAATAAAAAAAAAGACAAGCAAAAGGTTAATTTTTGGAATTGAGTTTGCAAATGGAAATTAAAGCTTTTCTTTTAACCATTTCCATATATTTATGTATGTATATTCGTGACAAATAAGTCATCCAGAGGGGCCTACACAATCAGATCTAGGGAGAGATAGCCTGGGGTGACAATGACCTACTGAAATGAGTCTAGACTCTAGAGAAATGAAATTATGGATATATTTCGGGTTCTTGGGAAATGACTAATAACAGTCAATAAATACACCAGAACTCTACACTCACTATTTATATTTTGAGATCACCTTTGAGCTCATCTTTGACATCATTTCTAAATGTTGAATTCCATTGTTCACCTGACAGTCATTGACACGATCAACTCTCGCATTAAACTTAGGACCCCCCGTTGAAAAAACAAACTGATTATGAAGTGGAAAACACTGAGGCGTAAAGGGTAATAATTAGACAGAGGCAAAGTCTTCAATGGGTGGTCCCGAAACGCTGGTAGCCGATACGGCAATCATTGAAGCGTTTTTCGGGCATTAATCTATGTACTACCCGTACTCGCACATATAAGTAATCGCAGCATCGATGGACCCCAAAGGATCGTCCAACTTATCAGCGCGCGCGTAAAAAACGATTTAAAACCATTGTGAAATCAAAGCAGGCGCGTGCACAACTAACGAAACAACAACTGCAAAAATAATATTATGTACAACAAAAAATAAGAAAAAACCAAAAACCAACAACGTAATGTACAAACGAGCCGAACACAATTTATAACGAAAGAAACTCATGTTCGTAGTTATAGTTTTTAGTATCAGCTCGTAACACCAACTGAGCAGGCCGTGAAGCAGCCTGCTGGCTGTTTGGCAGGTGACTCAAATACAGAGAGCCATAGAGCCGTGGCACCGTAAATCTGAGAGGCAGGCAGGCAGTCAGCAGTCAGCCCACTGGTCAGCCAGCCATCAGGCTGGCAGAGAGGAGGTAACAAAAACCGACTGCACGCGGCCCTAACTGTGTCAGTGCTTGGATGACTTCGACGGCGCTTGTTCCTGTTCCCGAGCTAACCGAGTTAACGCTCCCTGCAAACAACTACCAAAAAGTTATTACAAAATATTTGGCGAGCACACACATACAACATGTTGTACCAACGGCTAATGCAATGGTCTGCCACCAATAGCTGTTGCAGCAGCGGCCGTGGCGGCGTCAACTGCAAATCGGTTGTACCCCGACTTCTGCTGCTGCTGATGTTGCTGCTGCTGCTGAGCGGACACATCGAGTCGGTGGATGGCCACAAAGTGACGGTAAGCGAATGTGCGGTGTGTGCAACCAAAAGTGGTCAAGCTGGAAGATTGGCAAAGATTGACCAGATATATTGGGTAACGCAACATTGCGTATAATTTATCCAAATTGGGCATGCAATAAATCATAATACGAGACTTAATAGAAGCTTAATCATTATTCGCCCTGAAGGTCATGTTCTAGAATCTAGACAATCGGAAATCCACAATTTCTCAACTTTCCCCCGACTAGATTGGGCCAGTTACTCATAAAGTCCGCTTGAAAAAGAAACACAAGACCACTTGACAATCGATTCATCGATTATATGGCGGCTATAATTGCACAAATTTGTGTATTTGACTTATTGCAGTTCAAAGATTACCAAAACAAAGGAGCAGTCATTAGCAACGTATGGGATAAAGCTCAGCAGCAGATCTAGGGAAGACTCGATTGATTAAAGAAGGTAGATAGAGGAGAGAAATTTTATATGAATAACTGAGAAATAGTTTCTTGAACAATTGCTTAAACAATAGTATCATTATCATTAGCTAACTTTGGCACACCTGATCACTGTAGGAAATGATCGTTTATCAAAGTTAAAGCATGACAAACAAAGCTAAGTATGAACATACATACGTATGTATGATAAGTCTTTCGCACTTGTTGATAAAAAGAACTCTGTGGTTTTGTTAGAGCATGCGCCAGGCAGGCCCCTGGTTTTCCCTTTTCTATACCTTAGGATTGCCGGCCCCCGTAAAATGCTTCCGTTCTCGCGCATGATTAGCGAAAAATCCACAACGACTGGGTATATGTATATACTTTCTTTTGTGTGTAGGGGTAACGCAATGAATATAATAATGTAGATACATATGTATGAGTATATGTAGAGGGGGACACATATGTTATGTGGCAGCAGCGATCACCCGATCTGATTCTGATCCCGCGGTGCGAGCGTCAACTACGAGTAAGTATCGGCTGCTCGCTCTGCTACTCTGATAAGATTTTAAAGTACGAAACTATGTATAGCCATAGCTATCCCACAAATCAACTCTTGCGCTAATAGAAAAAACAAAAAGAAAGCTTGCCAAAATGTCTGTGTGTTATATACATACATACATTGTAGTTTATATATTTGTAGTGGTGGTGATTGGCCTAATGAATGGCCCACGACATGGGCTGATTCCTTGCTTGTTGCTCGACGTTTCTATTATTCCCATGTTTATCGCTCGTCGGTCTGCTATGACGCGCTCTTTGTGCTTGGACTTTGGCCTCTATGGTCGGATCGGTTCGGTTCGGATCGGATCGGATCGGCTGGTTTGCTTGGGTTGTGAGACTACTGAAAGCACCTCACAGTGCTGCTTTGTTTATGACATTATCTGAAGAGGAGCTGTCTTACCCTTTTTTTGTGCAAAAAGCTATCCGATACAGGTAGAGACAGATGGCCGCAGAATGGGTAGATTGATCGGAACATGAAAAGTAGAAAGATTCTGGAAGGCTAAGATGAAAACTTAGACACGGGAGCACTTGGAGGCAATACAAGAGTCTTTAGTATACTTTTGTTTCTTTTTCAGGCCACTCTAATCACAAACCACAACTATCCGGTGGAGGAGCACACGGTAAACACGCCCGATGACTATATTCTCACCATCTATCGCATTCCCACATCTCCGAAGCTGCACCCACAGCTGTCGAATGAGACGACCCAGAAGCCAGTAGTCTTTCTGCAGCATGGTATTCTGTGTGCCTCCGATGACTGGATCATCAATGGGCCTGAAACGTCGCTGGCCTACATGTTCGCCGATGCAGGGTATGATGTGTGGCTGGGCAATGCTCGGGGCAACACATACTCCCGCCAGCACAAGCACATCCATCCGGACACTTCGGACTTTTGGAAGTTCAGCTGGCATGAGATTGGCGTCTATGATTTGGCAGCCATGCTGGACTATGCCCTGTCGGCGAGTAATGCTAGTTCACTGCACTTCGTGGCCCACTCGCAGGGAACGACGACGTTCTTTGTACTGATGTCTTCGTTGCCGTGGTACAACGAGAAGGTGAGATCGGTGCATCTACTCGCTCCGATTGCCTACATGCGCAACCACTCGTTCATCCTGTCCAAGCTGGGAGGCATCTTCCTGGGCTCTCCCTCCTTCCTGAGCTGGATTCTGGGCAGCATGGAACTGCTGCCCATTACCAGCTTGCAAAAACTGATGTGCGAGCATGTCTGCTCCGAGGGATCCATGTTCAAGTTCCTGTGCTCGGGGCTGCTCGATTTTATCGGTGGCTGGGGCACGCGGCATCTCAATCAGGTGAGCATTTAGACAAATTTCTTTCCATTATTCCTAGTTAATCTCCATTTTCCATAGACCCTTTTAACGGACGTTTGTGCCACACATCCAGCGGGTGCCTCCACCAGTCAGATCATCCATTATCTGCAGCTCTACACATCTGGGGACTTTCGACAGTACGATCATGGCAGGGAGCAGAACGAGATCATCTACCAGCAGGCCACGCCGCCCTCCTACAATGTAAAGAACATCAACAGCTGCGTCCACATGTACTATAGTGACAACGATTACATGTCCGCCGTGGAGGATGTCGAGTATTTGGCCTCCCTCCTACCCTGCGCCGAGCTCTACCGCATTCCCTACTCGGACTGGAACCACTATGACTTCCTCTGGTCCATCAATGTGAAGGAGGTGATCAACAATAGGATAATAGATAAAATGGAACGATACGACATAGAGCACGCCACAGGAATGAGTTTCTAGCGATAGTCACATGGTTACCACATCCTCTATGGCGGGGTAACAACAATTTTTAGCCCATTCTAAGCACTGTACATAATTTGTATATACCAATTCTATATTAATTCGATGATAGCTACCAATGATAATGAGATAGTGAGCCTGTGCGTGATATTATAGTTATTAGTTAGCTCGTAAGTGTGCTTAAGGTTTGTGAATCAGCTTTTATAAATTTCTATACGTATGCTTTCCATAAATAAAAAAATCCAATACAGATTCTATTTTTGAATTTGCCGCCATTGCAAAAGAGTCTTGGCAGCGCTGACCGGAACCAGTAGCCAGACAACAATTTATAACAACAATAACTTTGGCGTCAGTGGGTACGAAATAAAGCATATTTTTAGGAGGACTTTGTTATAAGAAGTCAAGTATACCTCAGAAGTCAAGTATTGCATACTTTTGTGTCAATGCAAAATGACTTTTAGGAAACATTTTGAAAGTTTGGCAATTTAAATTTTAATTTGTGTGAATGGAGAAGGTTGAGTCTGAAGAGCTCTCCTAGAACCTACTGTGTGTCTTATCATGCTGTATCATGAATTTAGGTAAATAAGATACATTAAATCTCACCCGATTCCTTTAATTTATTCTATTTTTTGGGGCCCTTGACTGCTCTTGCTGTAACATAATTGTTCGTTGTTGAAAAACACATTTGATATGGACAGTTCATTAATAATTACCAATGCAAATACTAAAATCTGCCATATCAATGCACACAGTTTGACGAAAAAAATTGAAGATTTTAGACGCAAGCTCGTCGACTCTGGTGTGTATGTTTTATGTGTTTCGAGGCCTAGTTTGTCTCCGACTTAAGTGACTCGGTAATTGAATGAAGTCGATACAATGCCGGGGTCGTTGCAATATACATCAATAATAAGATGGCAGCAAAATTCGTCTGTAAGCAAAGACCTGATAGCGCCATTGAATACGTATTTCTGAATATCTCCATCAATACAAAGAAATTTCTCCTGGGCTGCAGATATATATACCAAATCGAAACATAGATTACTTAGACTTCACATCACTTATTACTGACATTTCCTTGACCTAAGCAGACATAATCCTAGCAGGTGACTTTAACTGTGATATTCTGAGAGATTCTTTGTCGATAACATTGACAAAAATCTACTGTACGACCAACTCATAGTGCTAGGATATTCAAAACAAGATCTTATTTTCTTGACCTATGATTTCTATCCTGGCTGCGATCATTTTGATACCTTTTATAGAAACTCTACGAACATTGACATTGAAAAACTACACACTGACATTAGCATCCTTGACTGGACATCCAAAGATCAGACGTAACAAAGCAAATCAACTCTGCCAAGACCTAATTAAATGTATTGAAATTGGCAACACAACAAGTACTTCGCAAGTTGACATGGACGTTAATGAGATAAATCAAAAAGATGTGCAATTAGTGGTAGCGGACTTACCACCCACCATGTACTGGACATCAGTGCCTTATCCTATTAGCTTTAGTTTCTGTTTTGCTAATCCCGGTGATGTTCTGGAGTTCATTCTTAAGATTAAATCGAGTGCTATTGGCCTAGACCACATGAAACAATTTGTTGAGATTATCACTACCCATAATTATTATGCAAGTAACAAACATTTACAATACAGCAGTTATCACATCAAAGTTCCCTGAATAGTGGAAGGATGCTAAAATAATCCCCTTGCCTTGTTGTTTCTGATGAAAAATATCGTCCTTTGCCTATGTTATTGGCTTGAGGAACAAACTTCCTCATCAGATGAAAGCGATAGCAATCCTTTTTAACAATTCCAAACGCAGTTAGGAGTTCACCTTACACTAGAAAGGTATCAGCCAAAATCAAATTTTACTATAAACAAAAAAAGAACGAGAAGGGACGTGTGAGGCGCTTCTTACGCATCACAACTTTTATACCCGGCACTCAGTACTACATCAGCACCTTAGCAGTGTTTTGTCAAATTTTACATTTTTTCTTCATCTGTCATCTACATCAACAACACTACTCACGCCGACAAGCTCGCCACCCTCCCATAGAGCTACACACTGCAGAGTCAGGGCGAAGCACACTGCGCGAAGCACACTGCGCGAAGCACAGTGTGAATGAGAGAATGTGCAAAAAACAAATATAAGCTGCGGGACGGGGTGGGTTTAGCCACTGCAAATTAATTTCTTCATTGTGGCTATAATAATGATCCAATCGGATCCCAATTTGGTGATCTGATAGATATGGTAGTTACCTACGAAATGGCGAATTTGTAGTTTCCTTGTATCTTCAAAATTGTAGGTTTGGGAGGTTTTCGCCCTTTTGCGAGGGTGGAAGGGGGCGTGGCTAATGAAATACACTGGTTTCAGTGTGAGCATACAGCAGTCTGGAGCCAAAATTTGGTGGCTCTAGCTCTTATAGTCTCTGAGAACTAGCCGACAAACAAGACGGACGGACGGACAGACGGACAGACAGACATGGCTCTATCGACTCAGCTATTGATGCTGATCAATAATATATATACTTTATGGGGTCGGAAACGTTTCCTTCTGTGCGTACATACAAACGTTATTCGCACAAATACAATATATCCTATTTACTCTTAGGGTACAGTTAAAACTGGGAATTAATAAGAAAATAAAAACATATGTAACCACTAGCTTCTACTTATGCCATATTAAAAGATTATTTTAGCTTTAAGTTTAATACCAAACTAATGGAACACCTAAAGACTAGTGCTTTAAGTATAAGCTCCTTGCTTGTAGCTCTAGGAAAGTCAATGAATAAAACATTACATTATTATTAAATTGAAGCCAGTAAAGCAAATTCAGAAGTATGATTGATGTTCCTAAATTCTCATATTTTTCCTATGATATATCCATATTAACTGAATATTCTGCACAATTAACGGACATCCATTGATAATCGCCCTAATTTCTGGTCACTATAAAAATAAATGTATGCAGGACATGTAAACATTTCTGGGAACTAAAAAGCAAAACTGTTTTCGCCTTTTTTCTGTGCTCTAGCTTTAAGTCGCAGCAACAGCTCCGTAGCGGTGCCGTCATAAATTACGCTTTCAAATTATTGGTAATGTTGCACATTTGTGGAAAAGCCACGACGAAGTGCGCGAGTATGGCTGCCACATTTGGGTCAGCTGCTGCAACAGCTGTGGATGGATGTCGTTGCCACCACCAGAGCCGCCTCCACAGAGTGCCACAGACACCGCAGCAGCCTTCAAACTCTAAGGCGGATTTAAATTTTTATTTTATTAAATTTTCATTTTATTCATTTGCCCAAAATTAATTGCTGGCTGGCTTTAATACAATGGACTGTGGCTGTGGCTTTTGGAGCGCAAACTTCGAGCCAGAGCTGAGGCTTGCAAAACCAAAAATAAAGAAAAGACAGGGGATTGGATGGATGGCTTGAAAGACTCTACCACGAAGATGGATAGTGGTGGTAATTAAAGCAGCAACAATAATGTCTTGATTGCAAATTCATTTTTTGGTTCAACGTTCTGGGCAGGCAGGCAAACATTTTCCATGTTGCACGCTTCGTTGCACATCATTGCATTAACTTGTACTCGTAGAGTTTTAAAGTTTTCAGCTCAAAAAAAATGCTACATAAATATTTCAACATTTGCGTGGCCTGCCGATTTGTTAATATATATGTATAAATGTGTTTGTAATGTGCAGTGCACAATGTACATCGGTACCTTTTGTCCGCACGACGACTGTCTTTCAGTCTGAACGTCTTTCTGTCTGTGTGTAAAACACGATCGCTGCTAGACCGCCACGAGTAGCTGTTGCTATTATAATTAAGTTCATGGCAAGCACTGCACAAAACACAGAAGTTCCCTTCCCTCCATAGCCACGAAACCACTTTCGAAAAGCCCATAAAAATAGCAACGCAACTGCTTGGTAATACTTGTACGAATGCGAGAGCGAGTACGAGTCCGAGTGTATGGATTGTCCATCCAAAGAAAAGCAGCGCAGATGCGTGGAGAAATTTCGTATGCCGCATATTTTGGTTGTAACGGCATAACTGTTACCGCGGGAACACCGAAAATGTACAGATATTGGATAATCGACTCTCCATATACCCTAGGGCAATGGGGAAGTTCCACTGCAGCAGAATTCGGAACGCTTCAATGGCCATAAATAATACCCCATCCGATGTGCTCTAGAAATTTCTTGAGCAGAGATTTAGGAACGCAGAAAGAAAGGGCAATGAATTATACTAATCTGTTCAAATTTCTCTCTAGAGCAAATTTTGGGTTTGCAGAATGAAAGACACTCGGGAGAAACTCTTTAGAATATTGTGGAATATTATTGAGTCTTACTTGAAAGAACTTAAGAATAAATTCTGTGTAACCAAAATTTGCGGACTCGGGGAATAGAGTCGATGCAGAAAAGCTTGGATAACCTTATGAAAATGTAATGAAATTCAACTGCAAATAATTGTTAGAATACTATTAGTCTTACGGGCAGATTCTGTCCGAAGAGTAAGAAGGGTATATTGTGTTTGTGCTCGAAAGTGGATGTTTTTAACGCACAGAACGAAACTTTTCCTACCCCACAAACATTTATATATTATTGATCAGCACCAATAGACATGTCCGTCTGTCCGTTCGTCTTGATGAACGCCTGGATCTCAGAGACTATTAAAGCTAGAGCAACATAATTTGTTATCGAGATTGCTGTGATGTCACTCTGTTAAAAGTGTATTTCAGAATGACAATATTCATGTCCAGTGCACCCCACCCCAACAGCTTTGTTAACGTTTGTTTGTGTTTGTGCTCATTCTATCTTGATCGCACACTCTACATCGTTCTCTGTGCGGATCTGGTGGAGGGGCGAGCTTAAAGATCGTATTGGCAGGAGAAGTGATGTAGATGACAGATATAGAAAAAATGTAAAATGTTTAAACCATAAGGTTACATACAAATGTACATATATATCACACAAAGGTTACATACATACATACATATGTATGTACATACATAAATATATGCTAAATGATTACTTGGTATAGAAGTTGTGACGCGTGCGATACATACATGTATACAATAGTATTTTTATTTTTTCTTCAATTGTCAAATGTGCAAAATGTTA